CCGCTCCTCACCCTCAGCCGCAGGTACCGGTGCTCCCCGCAGCCCCCCGCGGGTTCCGGGGGTCGCCGCCGCCGCCCCCCCAGCGCCGCGCGGGGTCCCCGCAGCAGCAGCGCCGCCCCCCAGAGCCCGAAGGCGACCCCCGAGGCCACCGCGGCCACCAACAGAGCCCCCCGGGCCAGCAGCGCCCGCAGGGCCAGCAGCGCCCGCGAGGGGACCAGCAGGAGCCGCGACAGGCGGGGGGACAGCGGGGGACACTGAGGGGACATCGGGGACACCTGGGGACACCTGGGGACACCTGGGGACAGCGGGGGACGGTGAGGGGACACTGTGGGGGCACTGGGGGGACACGCGGGTGTCCCATCCCCAAGGTGTCCCCTCTCCCGGGGTGGCCTCGTCACCGATGTCCCGCTGTCCCCCCGGTGTCCCCAGGGTGTCCCCAAGGCCTCCAGGGTGTCCCCACAGCCCCCCCGGTGTCCCCCCGGTGTCCCCACCTTGTCCCCGCGCTGCCGTTCCCGGATGTCACCGCCTGTCCCAATTCCCGGGTGGCACCGCCCGGGTGGCGCCCCCACGATGTGTCACCTGCCCTGAATGTCACCACCCCCGAGTGTCACCTGCCCCGAGTGTCACCATCCCTGAGTGTCATCATCCCCAGGTGTCACCACCCCCGAGTGTCACCTGCCCCGAGTGTCACCATCCCTGAGTGTCACCATCCCCAGGTGTCACCACCCCCGAGTGTCACCACGTCTGGGTGTCACCTCCCCCAGGTGTCACCTGCCCCAGGTGTCACCATTGTTTGGGTGTCACCGCCTCCTGTCACCACCCCTGAGTGTCCCCTCCCCCAGGGGTGTCGCGACATTGGGCTGTCCCCGTCCCGCCCCCCGCCCGCAGCTGTCGCGACATCGGTCGCGCTGTCCTTGTCACCCCTGTCCCTGTCCCGGCTCCGCCGCGACTCCCGCGCTGTCCCCGCCCCCCCCGCGCCTCTGTCGCGACAGCGCGGGACTCCCGCGCCGTCACCGACCTGTCGCGACAGGGGGGGAGGGGCGCTGTCGCCTCTGTCGCGATCGCGGCGCTGTCACCGCCCCCTCCCCCCCCCCGAGCCACTTCCGCCTCGGGCCGCGCCGGCCCCGCCCCCGAGCGCTGATTGGACGGCGCGGGAAGGGGGCGGGGCCATGCGGGAGCAGCCAATCAGCGCGTGGGGGCGGAGCCAGGAGCGCCCGAGGGGGCGGAGCCTCGCGGGGCCCTTTTGGGGCGAATTCGGGGCATTTTGGGTTTTTTTCTCCGTTTTTTTAACTTTTTTTTGGCTTTTTTTTCTCCTTTTCCCCTTTATTCCTTTTTAGTTTTAATTTTTTTGTCGCTTTTGCGTCTTTCGGGGGAGTTTTATCCTCCCAATTTTATATTTTTTTTAATGTTCACCTTTTCTTCTTTTTTTTAACCTTTTCCCCCATTTTCTTTCCCTTCTTCTATTCCCATTTTTCCTCCTTTTTGTATTTTCGGCCATTTTTACCTGTTTTTTTTAACTTTTCCTGACTTATTCTCCTCTTTTCCCCCAATTTTTCTCTTTTTTCCCCACTTTACCCCAATTTTAATTCTTGAAAACTTTAAAAAAATCCGATTGAAATCGATCCGAAAACGTTTAAAAATCCCAATTTGGATGGGAAAAACAAACCCCAAATTCCACTGAAAGTTTAAAATTCCGATTTCCACCCAAAAACCCCCAAAAAGGGGAACCCCGGAATTCCCATTTCTGCCGATTTCACCTCAAAACTCCCAATTAAATCCCAATTAAATCCCGATTAAATCCCAATTAAATCCCAATTAAATCCCAACATTTTCAATTTCAATTCGGATTTTTTCCCCCCTTCCCCTCCCCCCTTTCCTTCCCTTTCCCCTCCCCTCCCCCCCCATAAATTTTCGGGGATTTTGGGATAAAAACGGGGCGGAAAAACCCGAAATTTCTGTGTTTTTGTTGTTTTTTTGGTGTTTTTTATACAAAACCAAACTCGCGGCGTTTTTTATTCCACGATCGGCGAAACCCCGGCGCGGGAATTCCGGGAAGGAAAAAAAAACCTCGGGATTGGCACCGACGGGGACCCAAATAAAGTTAATTAATAATTAATAATTAATAAAACCCCGCTGGGGGGGGAGGGGAAGAACGGGGAGAATTCCCGGGATTTTTATTTTTATTATTTTTTTTTTTTTTTGGGGGGGGGATTTATATAAAATAAAAAATAAAAATGAATTAAAACCCAGGTGGGGGGGAAAAAAAATAGAGAATAAAAAAATAATTCCGGGTTTGGCGGCGATTTTTTGTTTTGTTTTTGGGGGGAAAAAGGGGGAAAAGGGGAAAAAGGGGGAGGGGAGGGAGGGGAAAGGGGGAATTAAAAAAATCCGGGGGATTTATAAAAAATGGGGGGAAAAAAAGGGATTTTGGGAAGAGCTGAAATTAAAAAAAAAAAGGAAGAGAGGTGAAAAAAGGAATTTAAGGGAGGAATAAAAACGGAATTAAAGGGAAAAGGAAAATTAAAATAAAAAAGGGGAAAAATGGGGGAAAATGGGGAAAGGAGGAGGGGAAAAAAATTAAAGAAAAAAAGGGAAAAACAGGAAAAAAAATGGGGAAAAAAATGGGAAAAAATCAGGAATAAAAGAAAAACAAAAGGGGAAAA